TACGCTGATATAGGAAGCCAATTAGCTTTTGTTTGATTATTTTCTCCATGATTTTGCAGCAGATGGAGATGGGGCTAATTGTTTGCAGAGGCCTTGTTGCATCCTTCATACAGTGGTGTGATCCGCACAGATTTCCGGTCGGCGGGCAAACAGCCGGCTTCGAACGAGGCTTGAAAAAGCATAGACAATGGTTTGGCTCATTGAGCAACGAGCTCCTTCAGTAACTTGGGCGGTATGTCGTCTGAAACTGGTGATTTCGACTCATTTAGTGTCATTAGCTCTTTGCGAACAGTCGCTTCATCAAAAGATACATCGTCAATTTTTGAACCCTCATCGAAGTCATAGTCGGGAGGAGTAAATGCGCTTTCACTCGTAAAGATGGATTTGAAAAATTGTGGAAGCTGCTCCGCTTTTTCTCCATTCTCACTAATCTCTACGCCTCCGCTTGTCTTCAGTAGGGTGACTGGATCTCTGCTACGTGTGTTGTTTCTTATGTAGCTGTAGAATAATTTCGGATATTCCACAGCACGATCCAGTAGGTCTTTTTCAAAATTTTTCCGTGTCCTGAGGGTTAGTCGCTTGACTAAGTTCCTTTGTGTTTTGTATGCGTTTATGGATACAGGATTCCCATCAGCAAGAGATTTCTGCCACAATCTCCGCTTTTTATCGACTTCCTTTTTTAACGCCTGGGTCAGCCACCGGGGTCGATTGTTAGCCCCTTCCGTGAGAGCGAGCAGTGGTTTGTCAGGAGGACATGCAATAAATCACTGAACCGTTTCCAATCCTCCGCTATATTTCCGGAAAACGCCGATTCCCTGTCTGTATTGTTGATTTCGGCCTTCATTTGAGCGAAGTCCCCACGCCAAATATTTCTTCTAATTTTGTTGGGCTGTTCAGGCACGAAAAAGAGTGTATAGCTCCATTGAAGTCCAGTGTGATCACTTCCACCTAGGAGAGGCAGACATTGCACCTCATCTATGTTGTCCATCGATTTCGTGAGCACCAGGTCCAAGCAGTTTGACTGCTGCCCCTCACGGGCCCTCGTGGGAAATAGGACGTGCTGTGTGAGAATTGACCTGAGTGCCATGTCCAAGAAGCGTCGGTCGAAAGTTAGTTCTGGGCCGCGCGCGTATAGTGACCTCCAGTCAATGAGCGGAGCATTAAAGTCGCCCGTGATCGGGACGTCAGGCTGGAGAGTAAATCGTCCTAGCTCCTCTAACAGACGAGCGTCAGCCTCGGGGTCACTCCTCAGTGGTCGATAGACGGTCAGAACTTCAAGGCTATATGATCCTGGTACCCTTATAGTGAGCCAGATAGTCTCGGCGCTGCACGCAAACTGGTCTGTTTTGTCTGATACAAACAGGCCGTGTTTTACGTACATGACGACTCCTCCTCCCTGACGCTCTCTCCTCTCTCTTAAAACAACTGAAATCCTGGTAGTGCTAATTCGCGGTCATCTACGTTAGCAGACGGCCAGGTTTCTGTTAAAGAGAAAACATTAGGGGAAAGTTCACAGATTTGGATCTTCAGTTCGTCTAACTTGGGCAGTATACTCTGCACGTTGGTGTAAAAAAATGTTAGTTTCAGAGTTTTGGGGCGTTTGATTATAGTGTCGCTTAAGACCCCATTCAAGAAAACTATTGCGCCCTCATTCAGATCAGTTCGGTCCAACGGATTAAGGGATGGCGCTGCACCATCTGGTCGTTGTAGATTACGAGATTCGTCTCGCCATTCTCTAACCTTGCTCTCAGATCCAGAACTAATTGTCGACGCTTTATTCCCTCTGACGGTGTGTAGTCCGGCTGAAAAATACGCCGCGGTTGGCCTCTTTGATTCGGAATCGTCGTGAGAGAATAAGTTCCACTTGTTTTTGGCTAGCTAACACAATCTTGAGTGGTCGGGGACATGAATGCTCTGCTATCTCGATTGAGCGCTTTCGAAGCCTAAAAGCCTTGAGAACCGAAACTCCCTCATTAGGGCGCAGAAGTTCGTTTAGTAGGCATTGTAGCAGTCGCAAGTCTGCCGAAACCCGCTCTTTTGAGGCACTAGCTGTGGATTCGGGACGTCCCTGAATGATCAGACATTGCCCTCTGACCGGCGACTCTCCCGAGAACACGGTGGTTTCGTGCCCCGACAAAAGCAATACGTGGTTGTCATGATCTGAAGATGATATAAACCGCAGTCGATTAAGATCCTCATTCGTCTCTGTATTGTTTGCACTTTCACCACAGTCAGAAGTTTTTTGCGATGGGTTGAGAGTTTTAGGACCCATGCCATTTCCCGTGATGGGCGATACAGTCGCCGACGTCCCTGGTTCCGGTTCTTCCGAGGCATTCCTCGGAATCAGCTTTTCATTTCCTTCGAGCTTTTCACTGCACGATTTCTTTTTTTCCTCTGGCTTTTTTTCGTGTCTTCACTGGTTGTTGTCGTCTTGTATTTCATGTGTGTGCTGGGTCTGCCGTGACAGCTGCAGAAGGTGTTGATGGCGTGTCTTTTGTGCGAAGTCCTTTGGCCCTACTTCTTGTTATTCTTCCAACAAGTATATTCGTATTGTCAGCTGTGTCTAGTCTACATTGAAGAAGAGTTTTAAAATTTTCAATCTCTTCCTCAAGGCAGCTGATTTTTCCGGCCAATGTCTGGCATCCGCTTCAAAATCGATCGGTATACGGCACACATTTACTATCAGGTAAACTTTGTGACATCGCTTACCGGCGTTCTGCGATGGCCGGGGGGTTATCGTGCGCGAGCGAAACATTGATGGTCGGTGGATCGACCCCGTCACGCAAGGTAGTGTTTCGGGAGGCTGCTCAAATCTCCATCATGTAGTGGACTTATGCAAAACAGAAAAATCTGCAGGAATAACAAGCTTTTTCTTAAGGCACAGTGTCTATGCTTATGGCGGGTACACCGAAAATTTCCAGGGAACACTTTCTTCAGGTAAACCTATCCCTGCCAGCACCAGCCCCCTCGTGCCTCCTCTAAGCCCCGCCTCGTAAGGGGGCAACGACGGAGCTGGAGAGGGGGCTATGGCGGGCAAATTCCCGATGTGGCCCCCTCTGGCCCCATCATCGAAAAAATGCTCAGGGGACACCTTATAATTGTCGTTTTTGCCCCCACCCCTGGCCATATTAGATCGTCTGACGGTATTGCGAAACCCCGAACGTCTTATTGTTCGCGTTATAGTCCAGATCCCCATTTTCTTTACCGATTTTCTTCGGTATCCATCCTATATTATCCCTTTATGCCTTCTCGCGAACCCCTAATCGCCTAATTTTTTTGTTATAATCTACCCTAAATTCTCAAAGCCGATTTCCCCCACGATTGTTAGCAGATCTTTACGCGTTACTGCGTATCCCCGAACGAACCATTGAACGCCATTTATTGTTTGGGGAAAATTCATTAGACGAAAAAGAAAAAAATGTGGTTTGTTCAAAAAGTCATGCTTCATCAGGGGGCATATTTGGCTGGCCGTCAGGTCGGTTGCGGGTATCTACAAGAAAATAAAGCAGAGCGTCCCATTAATTAAACTGTAAAAATATGCTGCTGAAGTAAGTCATTAGAGTAGCGTATTTATTGTATAGATTAGTATGAAGTTGAATAGCTGGAATATAGGCAGATTTTAAAGATATAAAGAAACGCGTACTTACAGTATCTTCCGAAGTAGACTGTGTTAGGTATGTTTCGGCCGCACAGGTGCTAAACCTATGTTTGGTAAATTGAGAGTTGTCTGATTTTAAGCAGCACAGCAAATAGTGTGGAAAGATCGACTCAGCCTTTTTGCAGATGTTGTTCCAAACTTCGGCGTGCAGTTTGAGACGGTATATTGGATGGGTAGGCCCTGTAGAAAAGCCGAGATTTCCGACAGAAAGACCGTGTTTTGCAGAAATTTGTTCTGATCGAACGATAAGAGTATCAACGGAGCTAGATGGAGGATTGTAGTCAGAAACGCGTTTTATAATTCACTTTTTGATGAAGGACAATCGTTTTTAGTGAAGAGACTCGATTGAAAAACTTCCTTCTTGCAACTCAAAATTCAAACTACGCGCGTCAGTTCACTACCCGTTAAGGTGAATCAAAATAGCATAGGGCAGCACTATGGTTGGGCTTGGCGACCTTGGAACAGCGGCCATTGTCAGCGCATTCAGAGTTCACACCAAGGGACCTTGTAAGACGAACACGGCCGCGATCAATATGGCCGCAGTTCGAATCGGCCTGGGGGACGCATTCGGCACAAAATAGAGTTTGCTGGCGCTAACAACATGGTAGCTGGATTTTGGGCTTAATACTAGAACGATTGCTTGTCAAGAGTATAATAGCTAACGGAACCGAGACCAGAAACCACGACACACGGCAAGTACCTATGTGATTTGTCAATATTGCTACTACGGATTTTTATTTCATGCATGTCAATGCAGCATTGAGGATGATGCATTTCTACAGTAGGCACGTTAACGTAGTCGACAAAAGCAATTATTTGTGGCCAGCAAGTCTACTTGCATGATTTATGTCGATTTCGGACACTGTTCACGACGTGAACGGCGGCGCTATTGTCAACACCTCGGCTTAAGTCGGGCGTTGGCGTGAGCGCGTCGAACACCATCTTAAATTCGATAACCAACAAATCACTCCCTTGCTCTCCTCTCCAGCGCAGTTTCTTCCCCCTCCAACCTATGCAATGCCATGCGATCCCACCATCTGACAGAGAAATCACAGATGCTATACGAAAGCTACGCAAAAACAGGGTACCCGGAGAGGACAGTGTACCTGGTGAAATCTCCAAGTCTTACACCGACGTCCTGGCTCTTTGAGGTGATTTAAAAAGCGTGGAGAAACGAGGCTGCCTCGACGACTGGAGATTAGGCATCCTTATACCCATCCTAAAGAAGGGGAATAATGCAAGATGCGAGAACTACCGCGGCATAAGCCTCATCGACGTTCCGGCAACAATCTTCGCTATTGTCCTTTACAGACGATTTCGTGCTGTGCGTGACTCTAGGACGATGCCCAACCAAGCCGGATTCCGTGCTGGACGTGGATACACAGATCAGATATTTACACTGAGGCACATTCTCGAATTCCGCCATGGCTACCAACAACCGACGGCCGTCTGCTTGATCGACTTTGCCGTTGCCTTCGATTCCGTCCTTCATGAGTTCATATGGTGGATAATGGCGCTGGATGGTTTACCGCCAAAACTCATTGCCATGATGAAAGCCTATTATCGCCTAACTACTGCGCGAGTCATGGTTCCAAACCATCTTTCCAAACCCTTTTGTGTTCGGTCTGGCGTTCGACAGGGTTGTATTCTGTTGCCCTACGCTATTGGCTGGATTCTCAGGAGGGCTCTACACGAAAATGACGGTGTGGAGTTTGCACCCGGACACCGACTGACTGATCTTGACTTTGCTGATGCTATCGCCTTACTTGCCTCAAGTTTCGGTGATCTGCAGTCCATGGTGTCAGGGGTAAACGAGGTCGCTAAATCAGTCGGTTCATCCATAAAGGCTGGGAAAACTAAAGAGTTTCCAAGCTGTATACCTGACCAACAGAAGGCACCTCTGGGGACTGACGCCGGTCAGCTCGAAGAAATAGGCAGTTTGAAAAAACCTCGGAGCGAGGCCGCTGCTGGATGGGCAGTGTAAGGACGACATTGTCTCCCAAATTTATGCTACCGGCTGAGCTTTATCAAGCTTTCGAAAATGCCCATGGATCCGACGCGACCTCCCCATTGCCACTAAGATTCGCGTGTATCGTGGATCCGTCCATTCTGTTCTTCATTATGGAATATTACTTCAACGTTTGGTTACCAAGATCGAAAGAGCTAAGGGAACCGATACGTAACTGAGTTCTGATAACAGTTCAGCAATCATATAGATAATGCGGATATGGACAAAGTGTGTGTTCTACTCTACGGTTGTGAATGCCAGGCTTTGCGCGTGAGCGAAAACCGGAGGTATTTGATCACCACTGCTTATGCACTATCCTTCGAGTCCAGAATGTCGACTTTGTCTCAAATAGGACAGTCCACTCTTGCCGCGACAACATTGCAAGGATAACCGAGGCCATCCAAGAAAGGTGACTGAGGTGGTTTGGGCATGTTTTTCGTCGTCCATCTCAGGAACTCAGTGTTATTGCACTCGATCCGGCACCGGTGTCCGATTGCAGGGGATAAACTCGAAACCTGACACGACAAAGTTCGTCAAGACATGGAGGTGGTTCTTGGAGCTTCAGTATTCGGTCTCCGTCGTTGGCGAAGAGAACGGGTTGAACTGTCCAGACCTGTTACCGCAGATCGTCACGCGTGGAGCGGTGCAGTTCGGGACATCATTGAGGCCGGCTGGCTCAGGCATGATCGTAGCCGTACCAAGCGCAAGTAAGTAAGTATTTCGAAGGTTTTCCAACGTTTGCTGATATCTGTTCGTAATTACAGTCATCAGTATGAGTAGAGTCGTCGACTTCATTGCCTCGAATTTACACTACTAGACATTTTTTGACGACGTGGAACTTCGTTCGGAAACAGCAAATAAATGTCGCTTGATCAACGCTTTTCTCGATCTAGCTAAATAGTAGGTTTAGGCAACTTGATCTATCGCGTTCACGCATGTGTGCGCTCACCGTCCGGATCGCAGAAAAGGCTTCATCGTAACGACGAGGGGACTAAATGCAGCACACGCCGAATGCCCTTCCGGCTATCCGAATTTGCCGTCTATTCCTTCCTACCCCTACAGCAAGGGTTATCACGGATGTCTGAACTGAATTGCACAACACCCTGTGCCCCTCCCTAAATTCAGCCTTCTAGATACAAAATCTGACATTTGGACGTATACCCTGGCACCAAGAGGAGATATTCGTTCGCCGTACGTGATAAGATACAACCATAGTCAATGGCTGACGTAAAGGAGATATATTATCTCATGAAATGCTGGCTAAACTCTGCAATGTATTTCCAGTCAGAAAAAGATTACTTAAGCAGAGTCGTCGTGTTCACTTTCGAGTCACATGATGCCAAATCGTTCCAGCATTTTCAGAAAGCCGACTTCCGAACGAGCTGCGTATAGACCGCCTTCACAAACTAAATTCCGTAATAATTGAATACTTATGCAGTATGAATTTTCCTAATGACTCTTTTAGCCCTTAAAAGTGCAGACAGATTTAACAGCTGGTATGCCCACAAATATTATTTTCTTTCACCCCATTGGTAGAAGCTTACGTCTTCTTTAAATTTTATGCCTGCAGAAGGTGTAACTTGCAGTTTTAAAACTTTCTTTATTTCATAATAATTTTGAATACGACCTGCCGTCACACTTGCATTCAGTGTTTCCAAACTACAAATTGTATACTTATCATGTAAGGAAAGTCACATATATTTCTGTACATTATTAAGAACAGGTAAAATAGGTCATACAATTTTGAACTAATTGTGGACCATTTTATCAGCTTTATCAGTAGCATTAATAAACGTGCTGACGCGAAAGTGTCCGATAAGATTTTCCATGGTCAGGGCAAAGAATGTAATTCAACACTCTTTAACAATTTGAAAATAATTATCCGCTTTATCAGTATCATTAATAATGTGCTGATGCGAGCGTGTCCGATAAGATATTCTATGGTCTGGGCAAAGCACATCATTCAACGCTTTATATCAATTTAAAAATACTTATCCGCTTTATAAGTAACAGCACCAAGCGTGCTGGTGCAAGAATGTCCGATTGTATATGGCTTGGTCTGGATAAATAATATAATTCGACACATTTAAAAGTTTAAAAATAATAATTAATAAGCAGCATTTACAAATGCGCTTCTGCGATAGTGTCTGAGTGGATATTTTATGGTCTGGAAAAACCATATAATTGGACACATTTTGACAATTGAAAAAGACTTGTCCACTTTAAAAGGAGAATCCTTAGATGTGCTGAAGCGAGAGTGTCCGATTGGATAATCCATGGTCTGGACAAATCATACAGCTGACACATATTTTCAATTTAAAAATACTTATCCACTTTATAATTAGCATTAATAAGCGCACTAAAGCGGAAGGGTCCTACTGGATATTCCATGGTCTGGACAAATCATATAATTGGACACATTTAAAAATATAAAAATAATCATCGACTTTATAAGTGGCATTAATAAACGTGTTGATGCGAGATTGTCTGTTTGGATATTCCATGGTCTGGACAAATCATAAAGTTCAACTCTATTTAGAAATTGCAATATACTTTTCCACTTTATACGTAGAAATATTAACGTGCTGATGCGAGAGGGTCGGATTGGATATCCAATGGTCTGGACTAATAATGTAATTCGAAACTGTTTAACAAATTATAAATACGTATCGACTTTATGAGTAGCATTAATAAGCGTGATGATTCGAGCATGTGTGGTCGGATATTCCATGGTCTGGACAAATCATTTAATTCGACACTTTTTAACAATTTAAAATCACTTACTCACTTTATAAATAGCATTAGTAAGTGTGCTTATGCGAGAGTGTCTGATTAGATATTTTACGGTCTGGAGAAATCTTATAATTCGACAATTTAACAATTTCAAAAAATCATCCACTTTACAAGTTTAATTATTTAATGCACTGATGCGCGAGTGCGGGATTGGATATACCAGGATCTGGACAAATAATACATTTCGACACTATTTAGCAATTTTAAAATACTTATCCGCTTTATAGGTACTATTTTAAACGTACTCATGCGAAAGTGTCTAACTGGATATTTCATGGTCTGGGGAATCATGTAATTCGATACTTTTTAACAATTTAAAAAAACGTATTGACTTTACAATAAGCATTAGAATACATGCTAATGCTAGTGTCCGATTGGATGTTCTATGGCCTGGACAAACTATATATTTCGACCAATTTTATCAATTTAAAAGTATTTATCCACTTTAAAAGAAGCATTCACAAACGTGCTGATGCGAGAGTGTCCGATTGGAAATTTCACGGTCTGGACAAATCATATATTTCGATACTATTAAACAAATTAAAAATACTTATCCATCTTATTCGAAAGATTAATAAGCGTGCTGATGCGAGGGTGTCCAATTGGATATATCGCGGTCTGGACAAGACATATAATTCGATAATAATAACAATTTAAATATCTTAATCGATTTTATAAGTAGCATTATTAAACGTGGTGATGCGAGAGTGTCCGATCGGATAATGTATCGTCTGGACAAATCATATAAATCAACAATTCATAGGAAGATAAAAATGGTTATCCACTTTGTAAGTTGCGTTACTTGGCGCGCCAATGCGAGTGTGTCTAACTAAATATACCCTTGTCTGGACTAATCATATAATTCTACACATTTAAGAATTTTAGCATAAATTAACCACTTTCTCATTAGCATTAATAAACGTGCTGATGCGATAGTGTCTACTTAGATATTCCATGGTCTGGATAAATCAGACGTTTTGACACATTTTAACAATTTAAAAATACTTATTCATTTTATAAGTGGCATTTTTAAATTCGCTGATGCGAGAGTGTCCGATTGGATATTCCATGGTATGAAAATTCATATAATTGGACACATTTTGACAATTTACAAATACTTATCCAATGTATAAGTAGCATTAATAAACGTGCTGATGCGAGAGTGTGTAGTTGGCTATTCCATGGTCTGGACAAATTATATATTTCGATGATTTTAACAATTTAAAAAATAATTATCGACTTTTGAGTAGCGTGGAAGAAGAACCACCAGACTGACCACCCGACAAATGTTCATCCATTTTCCCCCGGCGAGGTGATAACTCAGTAAACACGCAGACAAAACGCTCTCCAACAATCCTCCAAGAGGCCAAGACAGCGAGAGAAGAGAAAAAACGATCAGCATGAGGCCGACCTACGCGACATGCCAATGGAACTTTCTGGTCGATTAAGTGGATTTTACGCTTTAGCAATGTGGAACCGACCAAGCTCTTTGAAACATCAGCAACTTAATGAAACCGTTACGGCGTACCCATCGTTTTCTTCAAAACTTGGAACGTTGTTCGGAAACAGCACATAAATGTTGTGCGATCACAAGAGCTTAAAGGCGGACCTAAAGCTCTTTCATCAACACTTTCGCCAAGTGCCACTTTCAATAGCATTCAGCTGGATCCTTGCCAAGGACGCTTAGCGGCCGTGAGGTTGCAGTTTACAAGGGGAGCATTGAAATCTCATGTAATAATCATATTTTTTCTCCGCCTGTCCTTGCGGAGTTGAAAGACCAACGCTGGATCTTCTTCTGCAGGTTGGTTTTAAGGTCTGCAGACAAAATTTGCAATAGTATTTTCTGCCTTAGAAGCCAAAACAACACGCTGCAGCATGTCCAAGTCATGATAATTTGCAAATTCTTCAACAAAGCTTGTATTCCACTGCGTTACTGGTGCGTGTGGAACAACTCCGCCATCTCTTCTTTTGGTCTGATGTCGTTTATGCATTTGCCAACCGTGTCTTTGTATTACGGAATCCTTCCCGTCTAGAGTAGGTCATCTTTCAGTTGATTCAGTAACATCAGGACGTATTTAGGCTAGGATGATCTTGAGTACATCGAGTTTATCCAAGGGGCTAGCAGTGACTTAATTGTTCAGTCATGTCTCTTTCATCGGTATGGCGAACGTTCTCCACATAAA